TATGCTTCCTAATGACATCACCTAGCATGGACAAAGAGAAAAGCACAAAACCCCTAAAACTGAACCTTGAGGGACTCCCCAAAAAGTGAAATCTCTTCGATGAATGATTTCCCAGTGAAACCATGAACTGTATATTAACTAAATATGATTTAAACCATTCTAAAACTGTGCCCAAGTGGCCGACCCAGCACTCAAAATGGTTTATTTGAATCTTTGGATCAACAGTCTCAAACACACTAAAATCTAATAAAACCAAAATAGAAGGACGTGAGGTCATTCGTAGCGCAAACCAATGCTGTCCCTGCACTATGGTTAGAACGAAAACCTGACTGAAACTTCTCACATAACTTGTTTGATCTTAGAAACACATTTAACTTGTTTGAAAACAACTTTTTCTAAGACTTTAATTAAAAAAATGCAGGTTTGAAATTGTTCTAAAATGATTTAGTACAGAAGGATCCATGCGGCTCTTTTTCAGCAGAGGCTTCACCAGGGCAGTTCTACAAACACCTGTTGACAGAGAACAGCTTACAATAGTAAAACATCACTTGGAGCACAATCAAACCAGATAAGGGTGTCAGAACTGATACAGGTGGCTTATCAGGAACTTGATTCAGCAGCCTGAGCTCTGCTCTGTCTTATCAAGGCTGCTTTATTTTGAAAATGAACTGCAGATCTGCTCTGTGAGAAGGTCAAACACCCGCAAGTACCGCAGTTTAGTTTTCCTCCATAAGTGCTCTTATTTAGATACTTTCTTAAAAAAAACTGGCTACAGCTGAAGGTTTATGGGTAATTTGGAAGGCACATGATTACACTTTAACTAACAAAACAGCATTAGGTGACAAAATATCTGATTGAGTTGAGGCTAGCTGTTAATCCTAAAATTATTGTACAAAAATTGTAAAATGTAAAACATAATAATAATAATAATAATAATAATAATAATAATAATTGATATGGCAACTGTCATACATTAAAATGCTCAAAATACTTTACAATACAGGGAAACACAGAGATGGGGAGAAACAAATGTAATAAAAAAATCAACAATGTGTGATTTAAAAGCTAAATCAGAGTCTAGAGTTACACCAACATTCCTACCTTCAGGTTTTACTACCGGTCTACTGTAGGGACATTGTCTGGAGCTACAGATATATACAGTTGTGTATCATCTGCATAACTATGAATAATCTGACCCAGTTTCAGCATATACAATGAAAATAGAAGTAGACCAAGTAGAGAGCCTTGTGGCACACCACAGAGAATATCAGACATTGAGACATTCACCTATACTTACAAAGTCTTCCAGTTAAATATGTAGAGAACCAGTTTAACACAGTTCCATTAAGACCAACCAGGTTCTTAAGCCGATTTAGATGTATCATGTGGTCTATAGTATCAAATGCAGCAGTTAAATCCAGAAGAATAAGTAACGAAACATCACCTGCATCAACATCATTCACTATATAAACTATAAACAGATGGCGTCTCTTCAGTGATCTGCGCTGTAAACATTATTTTTATAAAATAATACAAAGAGCGTCTAAGATTTTTGGCTTTCAGCAGTAAATTGTAAGCATATAGCAAATCATAAAACACATGTTCTGTTAATTTGAGGGGAGCTTTTACAATAAATAAATACATAAATACATAAATAAATAAATAAAATAAAAATGTACATGTATTTCATGCAGCTACTGAATAATTTGCCTTATGATTTGTTCATGTAAATTCAGATGGACAAACCAAAATATGCCCTGCAGAATAAGAGGTTAAATGAAATAATGAGGTGGTGGAGTGTGAACCGGGTGATTGTGCACATTGGAGTTGAGGTGCCTCAGAGCCAGGCTCAAACCACTGATGTGCTGATTGGCAGTTTAAGGAGTTACCGCTGCACCACCGAGAAGCACAGGTGACAATGAATAGGAAGTAAAAACAAAGGGGGACGCTGAAAGCAGCGCGCTAAAACAAAGGCTGAGATAGAAGAGTGAAATAAAAGATCATCAGAAAACAAAAGACACTCCCTCTGTGATTCTGAGAGGAAGGTCAACTTTATGTTTCACCTGTTTGCTCTTAGTGGAGCAAACACTTTTGTACGGCTTGGAGCCGTTTTCTTGCTCAAGCCTTCCTTTTGGTTTTTTAAGTAGTTTTGGGGCACTTTCTCTCTCGTTTTTCCAGTCCTCTTTTCTTTTCTTTTCTTTTCCTTTCCTTTGTGTCTAAATTCCCACCTGGGCTAAGTACTGTACCAGTCACCCCTCTACAAAGGTGTGACAAAGGGCTGCTGTTTGCCTCAGCCTTAAGTAGAGGAGTTCACATGTGTGCCAGGCTGGGCCTAATCAGCCTGAGGGTTTCTGGGAAGTGTAGTACCCTGAACTTATGGCACGTTGCCGCTGTCGCCCTCTGCTGGTGGCCGGCGGCGCAGGCTGGGCCCTTACACTGTAGATGGATGTTAGCCAGAGCTGTACTCTTCACACTGATTCACACAGACAATCACTCTCAAACACAGATACAAAGAGCACAGAGAGAGAAACTGATTTGATTTGAACAGAGACTTTTATTCAGTCACTTCAAAGCAAAAAGACAGCGCTTCACACATAATATGACTGATCCTAAACAGTGTCAGCCCCAAGACAAGGACCAACTCACCCTCCACCACAGTGCAGAAAACATCATTATAATGGCATAGTTGCTTATAGTCCATTAGGAACAAAGCAGTGTCCAATTCAAGGCCGTCTGCTTTACGCAGAATAACGCTGACCACCTTTCTTCACACCAAGTCCACTGAACCAGCCAAAATTTTTTTATAAACGAAAAGTAGCCAGTCTGCTTGTCAGGTGAACCAGGCCCTGTCCAGCTTCCTCTTTGGAAAGAAGATAAAGCACATCTTAAGGGACCCAGTGGAGGTGGTCTCAAAACAAGTCCACCAGAATGGCTGGCAAACGAGCCAGCAACCCAACAGGAGGATCCACACAAGACAGCTGATGCCAAAGGACTGAAGCTGTCAAATTATTAATTACCAGCACTCTTTCTCTGAAGGACATTTGTAAGTGAATCCATTTCCATCAAGCTAGTCTACCTTCCATTTTCACTACACCCTCCCAGTTCTTTTGTTGTGCAGCTTCATCCCTAAGATAGACACCCAGTTGCTTGATCCCACTCTTTTTCTAAATCATACCAGCTGGCAAACTGGATAAACCACTCACCCATTTTCCCACTGCAAAGGCCTTGTTCTTTTGTTTCACCCTAGCAGCTCATATATTCCCACAATCTTGAACGGCAGGCACTAAGTTATCATTACCTGTGTGTCTATTAACCATAATCATTACATCATCTGCATAGGCAGAAATATGATATTGAACATCAAATTGGGGCAACAAAGCCTGAAACTGCGATTTATCAGTGGTTCGATGGCACGGGAATACAGCATTACAGAAAAAGGTCAACCTTGCTGTATGCCACGCTTAGCCTTGAAGGGAGCGCTCAAACCACCATTAATCTTCAGCACACTCTCAATCTACCAAAGGTACTGATGCTCCACTTGATCAAAAGCTTTATCTTGATCTAATGAAAGGAGACCAGAGTTAAACTCCGCCAAGCTCTCATTCAGAACAGCCAGGAAGTCCGCACCCAGCTCTGCCCAAAAAGGCCTTACAAAACTCCACCGGAAGGCCATCAAAACCCGGAGCAGTTCCACCCTCTGTGCTCTGTAGTGCAGCATGGAGTTCCTGCTCACCCAGAGGCCTTGCAGCTCTGCATTCAGCCACTCAGAGACCTTCAGCAGACCTGCATAAAAGCTCGAAGCCAGTTCTCTGTTCTGCTCATACTCACTTCTGCACACTTCTGAATAGAACCATACAGCCCATTTTCTTATGTCAACAGGCTCTGTCAGCTCCTGCCCAGCTTCAGAGTAGAGAGCGAATGAAACGGCTCTGGTCATTCTTTCTTTCTAGATTAAAGAAAAACTTAAATGGGGCATCCATCTGAGTTAGACTGTGAAAACGCGACCAGACCACAGCCAACCAGTGCCCTAAAACCCCTTCTTCATTTTGCAAACCTAATTTCAGTTTCAGTGCATTTTTCTTCAGCCTGTAAATCTCCTGCACTGTGAACTGTTCTTCACCTTCAGAATCAGAAACAGAATCAGAACCAGAATCAGAATCAGAACCAGAATACTTTATTGATCCCAGACGGAAACTGCAGTTGTTACAGTTGCAACCATTAATGTAAAAGAATAAACACTAATAATTTAAAACGAGAGAAATAGTAGTATTGTGACCTACCATAGTGTCACACACTGAGGGAGGAGCTATAGAGTTTGGTGGCCACAGGTAAGAATGACTTCCTGTAGACTCTGTAGTGCATTTTGGTAGAATGAGTCTTGCACTGAATGTGCTCCTGTGACTCATCACTGTGTCGTAGAGTGTCCTTCACCATCGCTCTGTACTCGTCCTCATCACCTCTGCTGATACATCCAACTATTGCAGAGTCATCAGAAAACTTCTGAAGGTGGCAGGTCTCTGTGCAGTAGCTGAAGTTTGAGGTGTAGAGGGTGAAGAGGAAGGGAGAGAGGACAGTTCCCTGCGGGGCTCCAATGTTGCTGACCACTCTGTCCGACACACAGTGCTGCAGGTGTAAATACTGTGGTCTGCCAGTCAGGTAGTCAACAATCCAGGACACGAGGGAGGCATCTACTTGCACCACTGTCAGCTTATCACCCAGAAGAGCAGGCTGAATGACCCTCACAGTGCTGGCTGGCTTATCCAGGTGAGCGTAGACTCAGGTTGAGCAGGTAGATGATGGTGTCCTCAACTCCCAGGCGGGGCTGATAGGTGAACTGGAGGGGGTCCAGAAATGGCTGAACCATGGGCCGGAGCTGATCCAGGACGAGCCTCTCCATGGTCTTCATGACGTGGGACGTCAGTGCCACTGGCCTGTAGTCCTTGACGTCACTGGGTCGCGGCGTCTTCGGAACCGGTCAGCAGTGAGCAGTGAGACTTACTGTAGAGGTGATGTGTGGGGGAGGGGTGAGGGTGTGAGGTGGGCTGTCACAGGAGGGGGGCAGGCTATCAGGAGGGGGAGGGAGGGGGAGTGGAGTGGGCTGCTGAGGACCGGCAGCAGGGGAGTCAGGACGGGGGAGGACAGAGCCTGCAGTGTTAAATCTGTTAAAGAACAAATTTAGCTTGTTGGCCCCGTCCACGCTGCCCTCTAATCCTCTGTTGTTGCTGGACCTGAGGCTGGTGATGGTCTTCATTCCACTCCAGACCCCCCTCATGTTGTTCTGCTGGAGTTTCCACTATATTTTCCTCCTATATTTGTTCTTAGCCTCCCTGATAGTTGTCTTCCGTTCCCTCTGGATCGTTCTCGCCTCCTCCCTGTCTCCAGCTCTGAAGGCCCTCTTTTTGTTGTTAAGGAGAGCTTTAACGTCCTTTGTTACCCACAGCTTGTTGTTTGGGTAACATTTAACAGTTCTGGTTGGGACAGTGGCATCCACACAGAAGTTAATGTAGTCCGTGATGCATTAATTCATTCCTCATAATTGCTTGACCTGACTCAATAAACAGCTTGCGATCAGAAAACTGATCTTCAACCAAGTATATGCACTCCTTCAGAATCATCCAATGCACAGAAACCAGTATCCTCTCCTTGTTTCTCGCTCCGCACTCCTGCCACTCGCTGTGCCTCCCCTTTACTGTCACCAGTCTTAGCCCACTTCATTTTTCTTTTCCCAGAGGGAGCTTTAAAAACAGTCTCCTCAGCCACAGCTTCTGTGTCCATACTCTATTCTCCTAAAACAGATCCCATAGCAGCAATAGCTGCCGCACCAACCCCTACATGAGCATTAGTATTACGTTTACTCCTTTGAGGCTCTGAACACTCCAGTCCCACATCTGTCTCACTATTGGGTCTAACAGCAGGTTCAGCTGCTCTACCTCCCTCCCCATCCTGTGTCTGTGTATTAGGGTCTGTGTCGGCCACACTGCCTGCCCTGGGATCTGCAGCACTCCGCTCAGCTGTACTGGGCCCAGCTTCTGGGCCCCCCCCCCCATGGGCTCAGAGTTTGAGGCCAGAGTTTGAGGCCTTCCTTTCAGTCCTTATCCAGTGCTGCTGTTGTCTTCTCAGCAGCACAATCACCACTGCTAATCCCACAATCACAGTTAAAAGTGCAGCCATCATCAGTGCAAAAACCCACACTGGAACAGCAGCTCCTTCATCTGTGCAGAGATCTGGATGGTCATCTACAAAACACACACAGGTTTGTAATACAGTGAGTTTAAACTGAACACCATCATTAAAGCTCAGCAGCACGAGATTCCTGCCCAGTGAATTCTGATTGGACAGACAGAGAGCATAAAACAACATACCCTTTATTTTACCTCCACCTGCTGACCCCACGGTCACTGTGTAGATGTGAATGACCTCTTCAGTTCTTTTGGCTTTTGTAGTATAAACTCCACTGTCAGATGTCTTCATTCCTCTCAGCTCAAGAGCACAGGTTAGTGATGCTCTCTGTTTATAGTCATGTTTACAATGTAGTGAGCGTCCATCCACTGTACAGATGTGACCACTGGATGGTCCAGTTGCACCTGTACTGTTATAATACACCTCCACAGCATCTGATACATCCAACTTCAGCACCAGAGATTTGCCAGGCTTAATCTGAATCGGAAATCTCAAGGCTGAGGAGAATAACAAACAAGAAGAGTGTAAAAGAGAAATCAGTGGAGTTCAGTCAGTAATGGTCAAAACAGATGGACACTTACGCTCAATCTGAAGCTTCACATCACAGAGATCTGTACCATCACAGTCACACGTGTACCAGTCCCTCTTACTGAAATCAGCGTCAGTGATGATGAGAGAGAGATCTCCCTTCAGGTACTGATCATGGATCATCTGATATCCCTCCTTCACTGATCTACATGAAGTCTGATTACACTCAGCCAGAACATCAGTACGTTTAGTGAACACAGTCCATCTGACCAAACCAGGACATCTCTCAGAGCAGGGCAGAGTAGCAGAGTCATGAAGATTCACCTTCACTGTAGGATCAGCTGATACAGACACTGAAAAAAGAGAGAGAATAAAACAAATAAATAAAAAGTGAACATCAAACGACTCAGTATGGAGTTATTTTCACAAAAAAGTGAAAAGTAAAATACAGTGAACTAATACTGCAGGATTTACTGGCAGTGACTGTGTTGGTCAGTAAGATCAGGACAAAGAGAGCAGAACTGCAGGACTGCATGACTGACCTACAGACACACACACACCATCAGTACTGACCAGGAGAGGAGAGAGAGAAGAGAGAAGGAGAGAACAGAACTGACCTACACCTACGACACCTATTTAGGTGTGATATCTGGGATATAGTATCTTTAGGAAATATGGCTTGGGCTCTCAAATTTACATCAGCACTAAGAATAACAGGGAGAGGCATTCATGTCAAATTGAAATGCTGTTGCTACAGTGACAAAATGACATTACTATAATGTGACATTATTATTATTATTATTATTATTATCATCATCATCATCATCACTACTTTATTATTGTTATTATTGTTATTAATGATGTGCATAATGCATGCCAAAATGAAAAGCAAAACCTCTGTTTAATTGTTTCCATGTCTCTTGACTTCACTGAAAAACAATGCATGAGGATTCATATTCAAAAAACAAAATGCTTAATTTATGTGAGCATTGAATACAATCCAGTTTGATATGTAACGAATGCACGGCTTTAATGCTGTGTCAACATAAAGTCAACATAATGTTTTTTTTTTACTTTATTTTGTGTGTTTTACACTGGTTTCACTTTTAAGACTACACTTCAATAAAGCAAATACATTTGGAGCACTACACAGTGAAATTAACAAAAAATAATTTCAATCAATTCATATAAAATTCAATTATACAAACCCAAGTCCAAAAACATTGGGACAGTACGTGAAATGCTAATGAACAGAAAACACTGATTATTAAATGCTGCTGGACCTGTCTTACATTGAAAACAGTACAAAAACACATATTTGGTGTTTTACCTTATGAACATTTTTTTTCTCAATCCAATCCAAATTTGGTGTCTCTAAAAGTCACTCAGAATCACTTTGAACTTTGGAACCAATGAACATCAACAAACAAATAATACACAGTTAAGCCACCCTGGAAATAATCAATTATATCCTCAACCAGCAGATTTTATTTAAACATATACAACAGTGGTTTTAAGACTATGGCCTGCAGCCCCCAGTGAACCATGATGAAACAGATGTTTTTTTTTAATGCATTTTAAATGCAAAGATTTGTTACAATACTAACATTTAACTTTACAACAACATCTGACTCGTTAAATCTAAACTAAACACGGCCTGAAAACAGTCTATGGGCTCCTCTCTGCCGACCCAGTTGACCCAATCCATAGGCGCAGGGGCGGCACCACAATTTTTATATCGAGCTCATTGATTGAGCAAAACCTTAGCTGGTTATGTTTATATTTTCAGAGCAAGCGTAACCACAATGACTGAAACACAGCAGTGAACATGCAGCACTGAGTCTCACCTGCATGGGAACTGAAAACGAGTACAGAAATAGTTTTTCGAACAATTTACACCATCACTATGACTGTGCACAGCTAGCATATCTAAACCTGTCGAATTGAGCCAGAACTCCTCAGCTGTCCTCTCTTCAGCTGGACATCCAGCACTCAAGTCAAGTCCAACTTTATTTATATAGTGTTCTTTACAGCAGGTGTTGTCACAAAGCAGCTTTACAGAAAAAAACGGGTCTGAGCCCCCATGAGCGTCGCCAATGGCAACAGTGGCAAGGAAAAACTCCCTAAAAAAGGAAGAAACACTGAGAGGAACCAAGACTCAAAAGGGGAACCCATCCTCCTCTGGACCACACCGGATACCAGCATTAGTATAAAATATCAGAATTCAAACCAGGGAAAAACAGGCAGGCAGAGCAACAGTTATCATTAAACAGACGCAGCAGCAGCATTGAAAGTCAGAACAAGACGATCTGATCGCTTAAATCTGCGGAAGCGTTTGTGGTCGATTGTGTGGCCACGAGTTGCGAAAATTCATGAACCTCTAATATGGAGGAAGGGCTGTTTTTATTCTGTTTATTCTGGTTTTGATGATATTCAGCAATAATTCAGCTTCCAGGTACCTCAGATAGAGGCAGCACACAGCTGGTCGCCACAACAATTTCCAGGTCCACCTCACCCCGAGACCAGGACAGGACTGCTAGTTTATGGTTTAAAAACTGGACACCGATATAAAAAAAACCTAAATATTGCAAGAATACTTGACAACTGACTGAATTAAATTTCAATGACTGCATTTTGCACGTCAATAGCATGACAAAAATACAGCCTCTACTGACCTGGCCTGCTGTGGGGATTTATTCACTTTGATCTGGGTGACTTAAAGTGAAACACTCTTCCTAGTGTATTTACATAGTTAATATTTCAGCTGAATTTGAAACTACATATTTAAGAAAAAATGTACAGACATCAGGCTGACAACAACTACTTTGAGCACAGCTTTGAAATTTTGCATGGTTGTAAGAATGCAACTGAAGTAATCTTCCAGATTTACTTTTTCTGGATTCAATATTGAAGCTAAATTTATGTCTGATTCCATTTCCTTCATACCTTTTTCCAGAATGAGAACAATTACATCTGATATTAACATAGCACATATGTAATGTTTGTATATCATGGTTTAATATTTTTTAAACATTACATTTGTGACTCACAATAAAAATCAAAATAAACTTTGTGGAAAAACACTGAATTTCCAAAATAAGATTCATAATGCTCCAGAAGCTCTGCATTCTCTTATTAATGTGTTTTTCTTTTTAATATTTTCTTTTTTTAACGTATAATGTTCTAGCTCAGTTCAGTCATTGAGTTGGAAACTCACTTCAACAAATCATAACTTAAATAATTTTGAGCACAGCTTAGAAATTTTATTTAGTTATAAAAATTAAACTGAAATGTAATCTTTTATTATTTCTTATTTTTTTATTCTTTGAGACTGGACAGGTCATAGGTAGGTGTGGAACCAATAGGAAGTATTCACAGTAATTCCAGAGTGGGATAAAGCTCACATTGGTCACTGTTAAAATCTGTTGTGTTCTTGGTGGTTCCAGTAAATTTTGAGATTTGATATTTGATGAGCATTTTAACACATTTAACTGTCACACATTAACATGAGCTCACATGATACACTGAAAGACCAACATTAATGATTTATTCCTTAAACTGAGTGTAACCTCACGAAACGCTTGATTCGTTTTGAAAACGTTTTTAAAGAGCAAAGTATTGATTTCCAATCATCATTTTTAGTTCAGCTCTTGACTTCTACTCAGTGCAGTGATGAAGCTGAATAATTAAAGCTGAAAACGCCAGATGCCTCATCAGGGTCAGCAGCTTCTCAGGAGGCAAAAAGGCCTTTCTCAGATCTTCACCATCAACCAGTGTTACTCCTGTGATGTCATCACTAGTGACAACACCTGTTTATACAACGACTTAAGAATTAAAAGAGCACAAACGTTTATTTTAACGGCACAAAGGAATGAGACCATTTTGGTGCGATTTGGACGTTGCTGGGGGGCTGTGTGACGTCACTTATTAAAAAAACTATTCTTAGCCTATAACTTGATAATTAAAACAGCACAAGCATTTCTATTAACGGCACAAATCAGCACAAACGAATTAGTAGACGAATAGTACGACAGAGTATGACTGATAAATTCGTTTCTATTCGTTTACTAAAAAGCTTGAACCCATCTATCTAATGTCGAGGCTACAAGCGCACTAGCCGACTCAACACCACAGCCACGAACGGACCTTGACCAATCGGCATTAAGCTGCTTAAGAAAAGACGCCATGATTGGTGCGCTGACAGGACCCGCCCCTCGGCGGCTCTGATTGGCTGGAGTTTTGACACAAACATTCAGACATTTTACCAGAGCCGGTTTATGATGAGCCTGGCCACTCCCTATTCCTCCCATTATATCAAAAACAGAACGGCTAAACAGCAGAGGGCGCTCGCGAGTGAGTCCTCAGTGAATGGGAGTGAATGGAGCTCAGCGGCTAAAAACGGAAAGTTAAATAGTTTCTAATCTCTGAACCAGAACTGTCCTTTAGTTTCAGACAGTAGAAGGACGGATTTCACTAAATAAACACAGAAATCTCACCTGTGTTTCCTTTATTCTACAGCAAACGGGTTTGGGCAGCAGGAGGTGGGCTTTACTGCTAGTGAGGGATGATTGACTGGCGAGCGGAGCAGCTCATTGGCTGTTCGCGCTCACTGACGTCATGTGCGTACATGAGACCCCGTTTTAAACTCCTATAACTCGAGTTTAAAAGCTCTTAAAATATAACAGCCGTGTTAAATTGTTTATGCTGATCTGTGTTCAGGAAATTATTGTATTCTAAAATGTTTTATATTATTTATATTAAACATGTTTAAGCATTTATAAACTATGATGTTGCTCAAATGCTCCATATCAACCCATTCCTTTTTATACTCGCTCGGGAGCGCCCTCTAGCGTTTGACAGTGTTTTCACATATAGTTCGTTTTAAAAGAACCGAACCGAGTTCTGTTAAAATGAACCTGGAAGGGAACCAACTCCAAATGACCTCAGTTCGTTTTGTGTTCACAATGTAAGTGAACTCTAAAGAGGACTCAGTCTTCTTTCTGGCCCTTTGGGATCTCAGACCACTTCTTGTTCAGACCCCAACTCCATTAGAACTCGGACCCCTTTCACAGCTGTATGTGCGCGCAGTGTTCGCAAAAT